TGTCTGCAGGTCAGTTGGTTTTGGCTGATTAAGGCTGATCTTGGCTTCTGGCAGTGGGTTGGTTTGGGACTTCCTTCTGAATTAGACTTGCCAGATTTAGCAAATAAATATACAGGTGCCAAGTTAAAATTCGATTTCAGATAAACAAATCCTTAGTATAAGTTTGTCTGAGTATGCATGGGGCATACTTACATTAAAAATTTGTTATTTATCTGAAATTAAAATTTAATGAGGTGTCCTGTATTTTAATTGGCAACTCTGGTTCTGATGGTATAAGCACACGGGAGCAATGCAGTCATGCGGACATATTTCAAGTCTTTGGGTGGATGTGACTGGCTAAAGCAAGTCACATGGTGAAGTCCAAGTCACAGGGTGGGAGACTGGGAGAGGATACTTCTCCTAAAGGGAGTAATGTTATGTAGAAAACATTAAGAAGAAGAATCTACCAGAGCTACGAGTCAATTATTTTAGGAATCTTTGTTGTGAAGCTTGGTCAAAGACTTTTAGAAAGTCATATTGATGTTCACTGCATTTCCATTCATTTGGGTAACTTTTATTTCTCTTCCTCCTCCTCAGTGGTCAACCAGGAAATGTCATTGATTTAAAAAGGGACTTCCTGATCTACACATTTAGAGCAATCCTTATCAAAATACCAACAGCATTTTTTACAGAACTAGAACAAACAATCCCAAAATTTGTATGGAACCACAAAAGACCCCAAATAGCCAAAGCAATCTTGAAAAAGAAAAGCAAAGCTGGAGGCGTCACAATTCCAGACTTCAAATTATAGTGCAAAGCTATAGTCATCAAAACACTATGGTACTGGCACAAGATAGACACAAAGGTCAGTGGAACAGACCAGAAAATACAGAAGTGAACCCACAACTATATGGTTGATTAATATTCAATTAATATTCAACAGAGCAGGAAAGAATATCCAATGGGAGAAGGACAGGCTCTACAACAAATGGTGTTGGGGAAATTGGACAGCCACATGCAGAAGAATGAAACTAGGTCACTTTCTTACACCATACACAAAAGTAAATTCAAAATGGATGTGAGACCTAAAACCATAAAAATCCTAGAAGACAGCACAGGCAGTAATGTCTGACATTTGCCATAGCAAATTTTTTCTAGATATGTCTCCTGAGGCAAGGGCAATAAAGCAAAAATAATCTATCGGGACTACATCAAAATAAAAAGTGTCTGCACAGCCAAGAAAACAGTGGACAAAACTAAAAGGCAGCCTACGGGATTGGAGAAGATATATGTCTGTTAGGGAAAAGTCCCTTCTACTTACCTTTTCAGCATTTCTTTGGCTAATCTTGGACCTTTTCTTTTCTATATGCATTTAAAAACAGTTAATCATACTCTATTAAAAAATCTCATTAGAATTTTGATCAGAATGGCATTAAATTTATTGATTCAACTAGGAAGAATTGACATTTGTGATATTAAATCTTCCCAGTAATAAACCTGACATTAACTGTTCATTTACATACAGATTTCCAAAGAATATTTTGAACTTTTCTTCATAAACATTGCAGTTTTTTTTGCACAGTTTTGTTAGACTTATTTTGAAGCAGTTTATAATATTTGTAGCTATTGTGAATGAAATCTTCCTTCCTATTAAATTAGAATTACTAATTGACTTTTGCAAGTTATAAGAATGTTATTGTTTTGTTTTTTTTTGTCAGTATTCTATATAGTGATTTCTCTAAACTCTCTTTTTAGCACAAGTTTGTGGGTTTTCTTGGATTTCCTATGTTGACAACAGTATTGTCTACAAATAGCAGCTTTTTTTTTTGATAACACTTCTTTCTTATCAGATTGCATTGGTGAGGATCTCAAATACAACAATGAATGATGAGTGATATGCGTTATCCTTGCCTTATTCTAAACTTTAGTAGGAATACTTCTTATTTGTTAACTATTATGTTTGCTATGAAGTCTTGATAAATAGCATTCGTTAGGATAAAAATGTCCTCTTTTAGCCCTATTTTAGAGTGTTTAAACAGTAAATGGCTGTTGTGATGGCTAATTTTATGTGTCAACTTGACTGGGACATAGGAAGCCCAGACATTTGGACAAACATTATTCTGGGTATGTCCGTGAAAGTGTTTCTGAGTAAGATTAACATTCAAATCAGTAGACTGAATAAAGCAGATTGCCCTCCTCTCCAATGTGGGTAGACCTCATCCAATCAACTGAAGGTCTGAATAGAACAAAACGGCTAATGTCCCCTCACTTTGACTAAAAAAGGAGCTCCTCATGTCTGACTCCCTTGATATCAGTCTTTTCCTGAAACATTGACTCTTCTTGGGTCTTGAGCCTGCTGGCTTTTGATTTGGAATTTACACCATCAGATCTTCTGGGTCTCCAGCTTATTGAATGCAGACCTTAGGATTTCTCAAATTCTGTAATCACATAAACCAATTCCTTAAAATAAATCTCTCTCTCTCTCTATATATATATGATTCTGTATATGTGTGTGTGTGTTTATGTATATGAATGTGCATCTATATCTGTCACCTATTGGTTCTGTTTCTCTGGAGAACCCTAATACATTTATATATTATTGAATTATTTTCCCACAGCTATTGATATAATCCTGAAGTTTTTCCCCTTTAATATAGTAGTATCAACAAGTCTATTTAAATATTTTCTAATTTTGAAGCATTCCTGAATGTCTAGGGCAAACTCTATTTGGTTATGATGTGTTATTCCTTTTATATATTGCTAAATTTCACTTGTATTTATGGGAATTTTGCATCTATAATCTTCAATAATATAGGCCTATAATTTTCCTTTATCATATTGTTCTTGTATGTTTTTAATATTGTTTTACTAAAAATGAATTGGGAAGATTTTACTTTCTTCTGTTCTTTTTCTTAGTTGGAGTGGGAGAGAACTTTAAGGTTTAGTAAACTTACTTATAAATCAACATGGGTCTGGCTTTTTAGTATCAATATACGTAGAGGATGGAGTTTGGATCATAGGTATAGTTTCTTTAATGGTTATTGGCTTATTTATGTTTTGTATATCTTCTAGAATTTTACTAATTTATATTTTTCTAGGCATAGTCAATTCAATCGTAATTTTCAAACATATTGGTATAAACTTATATGTAATGTTCTGATATGTTTTTTAAAAGTTTCTACTCTTTTGGGAGCTGATTATCCCCCTTTTCAAACATAATGTTATTTGTCAGTCTTTCAGTCATCTTCTTTCTCCCTTTCTCTCTCTTTGATCAGTTTTACCAGACTTTTTCTATTTCATTAGTTTTTTTATCTTTGTTTATATAATTAATTTTATTAAACTTTTCATTTGTTATTGTATTTATGTAATTTTACTAAGCTTTTCATTTAAACATGTTATTAATGTTTAAATTTGTCATTATAACTTTCTTTCTACATTGGGTTTACTGATTGAAGGGGATGTAATAGAAGGGGGGATATCCCAACATGTGATTGCAAAGCATGGCTTCAAGAAGGAGAACCCTGTGCATTGTTGATGGGGATATAAATTGGTGCAGCCACTCTGGAAAACAATATGGAGGTTCCTTAAAAAATTAAAAATAGTACTGCCATATGATCCAGCAATTCCACTCCTGGGTATTCATCCAAAGAAAATGAAAATATTAATTCAAAAAGATATATGCATCCCTATGTTCATTGTAGCATTATTTACAATAGCCAAGCTAGAGAAACAACCTAGTGTACATCAATGGATGAATGGATAAAGAAGATGTGGTGTAGATGTACAATGAAATTTTACTCACCCATAAAGAAGGATGAAATCTTGCCATTTGCAACAACATGGATGGATCTTTAAGATATTATGCTAAGTAAGTCAAAGACTAATACTATATGATTTCAATAAGTAAATGAACAAACGAACAAACAAAACAAAACTCACAGATACAGAGAACAGATTGGTGGTTGCCAGAGAGGAGTGGGGTTGGGGGTGGGCAAACTGGGTGAAGGTGGTCAAGAGGTGTACACTTCCAGTTGTAAAATAAATAAGTCATGGGGATGTAATGTTAGCATGGTGACTGTAGTCAATATTGTATCACATACCTGAAAGTTGCTAAAAGAATATATCTTGAAAGTTCTCATTACAAGGAAAAGAATTTTTGTAACTTTGTATGGTGACAGATAGTAACTGGATTTATTGTGGTAATCATTTCTAGGAGTATACAAATATCAAATTATTATGGTATATACCTGAAATATATGTTATATGTCAATTATATCTCAATAAAAACTTAAAATTTAAAAATAAGAGCTAAAGACATGAATTAAATCTGTCCCAATTTAGGATATTAAGACATATACATGTGCACATACACATGTGCTGCTTTTGTTCCAATATCTTAAATTATCTATATTTGATATAGCACTTATTCTCAAAGTGGTTTCAGCATGAGTGTCCTTCCTGTATCATCATGTAAAATATAGTTGCCTAGTTACTGAGTAAAATGATCATGAAAACAGAGAACAATGCCAATGAATTTTTATGTGTAGAAAAGTTTATTAGAAAGCAGAGAAGCAACAAAACATAAGAAATTCACTCTTTTAGAAACTACATAACTGGACCCCCAGGTCTAAGGGTATGACTGAATCCCAGGTCAAAGGGTATCAAATCAGTACTGCACAGGGGTTACAGATAATATTCACTTTGTTAGGAAGGATAATCTAGAGCCCCTCAGTGATGAGGAAAGAGAAATTTAGAGGAATGGGATAATTTTTTAGCTGTTGGATTACAAATTAATATCCATATTTGGCACCAATATTGAAAGAAAAAGATAACAATGGAAGGAGCTTAACATGAACCAGAATGTGCTCACAGAGTCAGTGGGATGGGTTCATTGGAATCATGAGGCTCAACCTGTTGAATGAGGTCAACCAGCCTTCATATGTCCTAATGCTCAGCAGGAAAGGAGGGTCTACATCTGTAGGGCAGAGGTAAATAGAGGTGGTAGTCACAGGGCAGGGGGCTCAGCAGCAAGAGGAGGCACAGCACATGGGACGAGGGCAGGTGTAGATGACACAGGTGGGGCGATAACAAGTGGTGTGGCAGGAGACCTGACCACAGACTGGGCGCAGGCAGCAGGAGGGGCAGCAGCAGGAGGGGCGGCAGCAGCTGGAGCCACAGCAGGAGGGGCGGCAGCAGCTAGAAATGCAGCAGGAGGGGCAGCAGCAGCTGGAGCCACAGCAGGAGGGGCGGCAGCAGCTGGACCCGCAGCAGCTGGGGCGGCAGCAGGTGGTCCTGCAGCAGGTGGTCTGGCAGCAGGTGGGGCGGCAGCAGCTAGAGATGCAGCAGCTGGGCCTGCAGCAGCTGGCGCCACAGCAGGTGGGGCAGCAGCAGGTCTCCTGGCAGAGGCCGTGGCCGCAGCCCTGGTCAGAGCAGACGGAGCCACAAGAGGAACTAACCATTGTGTCAGAGGGCGGAAGTTGTGGGTGTGTTTCCAAGAGAGTGAGGATCTTGAGTTAGAAAGTCTCCTTGCCACATGGCCCCTTTTATACCCTGCTGAGGGACTTCTGTGATTATGAAAAGACTATTTCCTTCTTTTTGTTTATATTGACTACAAATGCGATTAGTAAATTAGGTCATTATATTTTTCTAGTAAAAACTCCCAATGTATAGGAAATAGTTATTTCCCTTTTCTCAAGTTCCCCAGGGTTCTCATGTGAATCACTTCTTATTTCTTTGTTTGCAGTGTCACAAGACTTTAATCTCTGGGTATCATGTGACACAGGTGGGTCCGTGTCTCTTCTCTGTTTCTCACCTTGACATGATTTTGGGAGAGCTTCTGATGGAGAAGGATCTCTAGTGGAAAATTTATATTTCAATAGATGGAATGCTGGTAGGAAAAGAAGTAAGCTCCTTCTTTTTGAGTGTAAGAAGTGAGGAGACTTATGATTAATTGTGTATATTGTGGTGGTCTTTGGGTTAATGAAATTCCTACAGCATTCCAAGCTGTGTTATTTCTCATCACTCTGATGTACTTCGAAACAGCAGCAACTCAGGGTTTTTAAATAGCAGAGTCATCTGGGATTGATCGGTGTTGATCTTCAGAAATGTCTTCTGGGCTGGGCTAGAGTAATTGGGCTGATAATTTTTGATCTGTCTTTTGAACTGTCAAAATATGCCATGATTATACTTTACGGCCATTTTTATTAAAATTTTTTCAAATATTTTAACCTAAAATGTCTGTCAGTTTTTGTGGTATCATATATCTTTAAGATTTTCTTGGGCACATTAAGGGAAATATAAGTGGTATTTATGATCTTACATATACTTTCATAGTAATGACACCCATAAAAGGTTTATAATCAAGGCCAGATCTGGTTATGTTCCTAAGTAAGAGGTATTCTTCAATGCCACCGGTATTCAGGGAAAAAAATATTCAAGGAAAGAGCAAGTTACATTCACGATAGTCCCTCTTCCCGCAAAGTCTTTTGTGAGCTCAGCGTTCTCCTAGTTATCTTTTCCCATTGAGTTCAAACGCCACCTTCCTTCTATATCTTCCTTGGCATGGCACAAAACTAAAGTCTTTCCTCTATTGCACTTCTGTTGTGCTTTATACATGCATGGGTTCCATCATATCATTTTCTACCAGAAACGCATTTGTGTGTCTGGCTCCCTCTAGAATATAAAGTCCATTAGGGCAAGGAATATGCTTTACCCATCTTTGTATCCCCAGGGCTGAAATAGAGTGATTTTTGATAAAGGAGATCTCTGTTTAATGACTGTAGATGTTGTCTCAGCCATCAGAGAAGACACATTGACCTTTTGTTGTTCAAGAGAAAGGACAACAGTTGAGATTGGGCATAACTCTGGCCTGTGATGATGAAAGGGAAAGGTATGGAAGGTTAATTTAAGAAGTAGTGAGAGAGAAATTGAGATTGCTAGAATGAGGGAGAGATTGTGTATAGCCTTAAATTTCAGGAGAAATGGTGGGATCTCTTAAAAGCCATTAAGCAGGAACGTAATATATACATGCCATATATAATTGACTTTGGTTTTTTGATTTGCCTTTAGAAATGCCAAAATACACTTGGCTTTCTGGGGAGAGACACTGTTTAAAGGCTGAAGTGGAGCAAGGTGAGATGTGTGCTCATAGCCTCAGGTGATGGTAATGAGCATAACAGAGTTACTTCAAAGAAAGAATCAGCCAAGGCTTGAGCCAAATTGAACATAGAGGCATAAGGACCGTTTTTTATAAAATTTATAAAACATACCCCATCTGTTTTTTCTGTATTTTATAACTCACCATGCATATAATGTATGCCCTTTCCTCCTAAAAGCCAGTAATTTAAAGTTTTACGGGATAAATAAATCAGAAAGCATTTATGTGCTAAAAAAAGAACTGAAGCCATTTAGAGATAAGGAAGAGATATTCGACACGATTATGCACTAAATATGCCTGTTCTTTTCAGGAGCCTATGCAAAATGAAAACGCAATGGATTATGGAATTCCTGTCCTTCTCTCCTTCCTTCTGAAGGCTCTGAGTGCTGCCTGCTCAGCACTTTGCTGGACGCTGCAGTAACACAACCACCAGCACATTATGCAGTTGTTCCGGTGCTTTCCACAGATTAGCACATTTGCCAGTCCCAACAACCCAATGCAGCAAGTTTCACTAAATCTCCCCTTTACAGATGAGGAAACTGAGGCAAAGGGAGAATTAAAACCAATAAATAGGAAGCAGTGATTTGTTTCCAGCCAACTGAGCACTGGAGTCCACATTTTTAAGCACTATATACCCTGCCTCTCTGCAAAGTCAGATGGGAAAGAAATTGTCTTTACCCTCATGTTGCTCTAGGTTAATAATGCATCCTGCATTATTAACGTATAAGTAAGCATGAAACTGACATAGAGTCTTTAGAAACCCCACTGTCAGCAAATGTCTATGGACGTGTATTCTGGGGGATTTCAAATTCATTTTCATGGGCCCAAGAGCCCCCTGATGTTCACTATTCATAAAGTATTTTTCTATTTCTTTTTTTTTAAGACTTTATTTATTTATTTGACAGAGGGAGACAGAGTGAGAGGGAACACAAGCAGGGGGAGTGGGAGAGGGAGAAGCAGGCTTCCCGTGGAGCGGGGAGCCCGACGCGGGGCTCAAACCCAGGACCCTGGGATCATGACCTGAGCCGAAGGCAGATGCTTAACGACTGAGCCACCCAGGTGCCCCTCTATTTCTTTTTGGAATTAGCTGTGACCATTGTGTATTTTTCTTAATTCAAACTAAAATCTGTAGTCCCTTCCAGATGATGTTATTTATATTGTAATAAAGGAAAACATGGAATACTTAAACAATTCCCTTGGAATTTACCTTTACCTCTATACCCCAAACATGCTTGCTGATTATGTAATTCTTCTCTTAGAAAGTAGAGAAAGTGCATACCCACTAAAGCTGCCTCAAATGAGGTAACTGAATTATGATGTGATGCCACTATGGTGCCTACCATTTTCCCCATGGGGCTGGAAAACTTTTCCCCATCCCCAAGTCTTCCCACTGTTTGAATCAGTCCTCTGGCCATAACCACTGAGCTGGGCTGTGGGTTGCAGCTCTGCGTCCACCCCTCTATCCATATGAGCTTTGGCAAGACCAGCATTGCTAAGACGTGAAAAGAAAACAATCTCCTTTAGAAGGAGTGTAGGAATAGTTTAAATGTTGCTTAGCATTGTCTTCGATAGGGAAGAAGTGGAGGGTAAAAACAAAACAAAAAACTAGTCTCTGGTGAAATGTTTTTGTATTTTGCATCTTTTATATTTTAAAATTTAATTTAAACATTTTGAATGTCATTTTTTCACATGTATTCCTCCCACCTTTTTAAACAGTCACCTAGGTTTCCCCCTCGAAGGCAGCCGGAGCTTCCAGTTTTTTTTCCTTATTCTGAAGATATTTAACACATAAGAAATGAATAAGAATATTTATTCATTTCTTTCATTTAAACAAATGGTAGTACATCAGTCATGGTCCTCCTGCTTTGCTTTTTCACATGAAGCACTCAGATAGTATATATATACACCACTTTGCCATTCTTTTTCTTTTATAGTAGCATTGTATTCCATTTATGAAGATACCATAATTTATCGAACCAGTCTTCGGCTGTTGGATATTTTAGTTTGCTTTTAGTCTTTTGAGATTACATACAATGCTGCAATGAATAAGCCTTTCATACATAACTTCACATGTGTGAGTGTTTTCTGTAGAATAAATTCCTATGGAAATAGAATAGCTGGATCAAGGAGTATACATTTGTTTGTAATATTTATTAGATAATGCCAGCTTCCCCTTCCATAGAGATTGTACCAATTTACACATCTATCAGCAATGTGTGAATGTTTTGTCTTTCCCCATTTGTATTAATGCAATGATACGCAGGATACACACATACATAGATACTTATATAGACATATGTATTTATTTATTTAGACACCTGTCTGTCATTAATCTTGGTCAATATGATAGGTGAAAAAGTTTCTCTAGGTGACTTCTTTTTGAAATTTTTATTTAAATTCTAGTTAGTCAATATATAGTGTAATATTTGTTTCAGGAGTAGAATTTAGGATTCATCACTTAATATAACACCAGTGCTCATCAAAAGTGCCCTCCTAGGGCACCTGGGTGGTTCAGATGGTTGGGCGTCTGCCTTTGGCTCAGGTCATGATCCTGGGATCGAGCCCCACATCAGGCTCCCTGCTGGGCGGGGAGCCTGCTTCTCCCTCTGCCTCTCTCTCTCTCTCTGACTCTCATGAATAAATAAATAAAATATTAAAAAAAAGTGCCCTCCTAAATACCCATCACCTATTTAGCCCATCCCCCACCACCTCCCATCTCTGTGTGATTTTAATTTGCATTTTCCTTTTTTTAAGTGAGATTGAGCAGCTCTTCAGATGTTTCAGGCTATGAGTATATCCTTTTTTATAGGAAAAAATTATAGAAATCATTTGGAAGAAATTATAGAAAATTTTCTATATTGCCTGTAATTTGTGTTTTTATGTTTTCTACTGTGTTCAGACTTTATACATTGCTTTTCACAGGAACTGTTTATATTAAGCATAAAAGGCTAAAAATTAGCCTTTTTATAGATTATGAATTTCAAATATCTTTCCTAGTTTGTCTGTCTTCTTTGACTTTTTAAAAAAATTTTTTAGTGTTATGTTAATCAACATACATTACATCATTAGTTTTTATTTTTTTATTTTATTTTATTTTTTTTTAAAGATTTTATTTATTTGACAGAGAGAAACACAGCGAGA